TCAAACGCAGCCTAATCGAGTGACAATTATTTGAATGGTTGAACCACATAATCAATGATGGGTTGAAAACATTGGAGTAGACTATCTAAAAGCTTCTTCCACATGCCACATTAGACATTACCATGGCTATTGGGTAAAAGAGTGTTATTCACTATTTTTTTTAGTGAAAAAAACATGGGATGGGGGGTTGGGTCGGGGTTTTGTGAAAATTTAAATAGGTGTAAAGTGGGCCATGCCGGGCCGGCACAACATGGCCCATGGGTGACCTACACAAAGTGCGGGCCGTGCCACCCTCCCCAGTGAAAAATTTGGGGGTCTGCCCAGCACGGCCCACTGGCTCGTCGAGCCTTGGACCAAGTCGGGTCGTGCATCGGTTCAAAGTTATTTATTTAAAAAAAATTGACAAAAAACTTAAAATTTTAATTTTATATGAATTTTGTGTATACAATTTCTTATATATACAAGAATTAAATAAATTAGTATAATTAAATTAAAAAAAATATTTATTTTATTAATATATTATATACTATATATTATTATATAATTATAATTTATATATATTATATAAAATATATAAATAATATATATGGGTCATGTCGTGGGTCGTGCTGGGCCAGGCTACAGGCTGGGTCGTGCTAGCTCGGCCCATAGACCTAAAACCCCAGGCCCAGCATGGCATGGACCATAGTGCCGAGCTTGACATGGCCTGCGAGCTATTGTGCTATGCTGTGTTGGGCCACAGGCGGCATTGCCCGATTTACACCTATAAATTTAAATGTGCCTGACTTAAAATCCAAATTTGAAGCCATGTAAAAATGGTAGTGTAAAACGATACAAATAATCGTGAATGCAAATATATAGAGTGTAAAACGGTTGTTCACAGTTAGCCCTTAAGTATAACTATAGCGCAGCAGCCAGACAGATAAAGAAAACTTTTGGGAGCTTTTTGAGCGTGCAACTCGGTTGGCCCAAGTTACCGTTTTTACACAGCTTCAAGTTCAGATTTTAAGTCGGGCACATTTAAGTTTTCACAAAACCGACCCAACCCATCTATTACTTTTGATAAATATCATGTGATTCGCTATCACGATTCTAGTTTGATCAATTGTTTTTCAGAAATAATATTTTTCGAACCCCTTTAGCCTTTACTTTAACGGGTGTTGTCAACAATCAAACACGATGTGAAGGCCCAAACCATTTGATGAAGGAAGATTTGGCCCGACCCCGTGACCACTCAACACGTGGTAGAGGCAACAGCTCGACACGACAGTACGCCCAAGGCGCAAGCTCCGAAAGGAGGAACCAGCGGTCCGAGCTCCCCAAAAGGAGCCCGAACTCTCCCTTTGACCCTGAGCCTTAAGAGGAGCGCAAAGGGCAACAACCCAAATTGGCCCGCCCCAAGGCAGTTCGGGCCACACCTCTATCCGAACTCAAGACTTCACCTCGCACACCACTCCAGCACTTCGTCTCTAGGATGCCGAACTGAACAACCATACCTGACCTGACACCAAAGGAGTCCGTATCTTGAGGCGGCGCACCCGACTGACTTAGGATCTGACACTTGACAACCGCACTTCAACGGCCACCTGCCACCGCCACTTCCAGTCACAGAGACGGCTTCGACAAAGAGAGTAGTGGCGGTTGTCTGCCCCAGCAGAGGTGATGACACCCGAATTGGCAGAAGTGCAGAGGTAATGATACTCGACCTGACAGGAGCTTGGGAGTGAGTGCGCGAAGTGGTTATAAAAGGCTCCCTTCCCCCCAAGAAGGAGGTATGTGATAACTTTGCGCCATCTGGTTTTTTATCTTGTCTTTGAGGAAATACTAACTTGAGCTTCAGAGCATTCTCACTGGGTTCTTCCCCAGAGATTACTCGCTTTTTCCTCCGTTTCAGGCACCTTTTGCTCCAGCCAGAGGCAAGATCGTTGACAGTTAGGACTTGCTGGGTTGCACTCCATCACCATTAATCCACATCATGGTGCGCTTTCAACGACACTAACCTCACTTGTATGGTTGAATGCATGTATTTATTTTTCTTTGAAATTGAAAATACTGAACGTGACACACAACTTAAGGTCCGTTTTATTCACAGTTGAAATTAGAATTGGAATCAAAATCAGTTAGAATCAGAATTGGAATGATCTATGCTCATAGTCTGTTTGGTTCAGACAGAAATTGGAATCAATTGAAATGGATTTTTCTTCTCAAGGGAGGGGGAGGAAATGTCCATTCCCTCAGCTGAAATGTCATTTCACCAAAAATGGAAATATGATAACAATTCTATTCAACCAAATAATTGAAATCAGAATGGTCCATTCCAATTCAAATTCTAAACCCCATATTCTCACAAACCAAACAGGCCCTTAAAAATTGTGAAACTCCATATTGATCATTGAAAAAGTCGAACGTGGCACAATTATCTCCTATGCGACTATTACTGAATGGTAAAATCTCTCGTCTCGGCCATTGATATTAGAGAGACTAGGGAGTTGGTCAAGACTCAAGAGTAGTGGTAACCAAACCAGAGAGTAGAGATGTGGTGTGATTTTGGGTATAGTAATCAGGCATTGGTCGAAACAGTCAAACTTATAGATTGTACCTCCATCTTGGTCAAATAAATTCCTACCTGCCATACATTTGACATTTTCTCGCTATTCATAAGGATAATTTATTATAGAAAATTGATAAATCCTTAAAATAAGGAGTGATAAATGCAAACGTATACAACTTATCCATGAAAAACCCTTTTCACCAGTCCTATTTTTGAATTAGGATCTTCTCACACAGCAAACTTTACACTGGTTCATATGCACATCTCACCGTGTATTAAAAACATTTCCCATGAAATATGGTAGATGTGCGTATGAGGTCAGTGTGAGGTACGCTGTGTGAGAATTCGTTATTTTCAATGGCCAACTCAAGCTTCAAATTCAACACAGCTCATCAAAGCATACCCATAAAGAAAGGCTTTACTTAACAACCGTGAATATATGGCAAGATTTTTCGAGCTGAAATTTTACTACGTATCCCATGAATGAAGGATAGATGAATCTCTTTTAGTCTAAATTAAGCAAAGTTGACACTAGGTGGGAGGAGACTTTGGTTGCTTGTCTGGTCTCATTCAGCTATTTATCGTCTCTGTAACTGTAAACAGCGCAGCTTCACGTATATAATATAACGACCTACTACATTATGTTTCCATCCTAGCTAAATCAATGAATCGCGTACTTTAGAAGATGCTAGCAGCATAGCCTTGATTGAATTTTCCTTTCGATATCAATGCATCTACCTTCCTGTATATTTATACTCTTAAGAAATAATAAATTAAACTGTCAAATTTGTCATTATATGACATTAACCATAAATCACTTGATTAATTTGTTCCTTTAGACTGTGTCGTTGCAGTGCAAATTTATTTGTACTAGTAAAAATGCATGGGAGTGTAAATGTAAAAAATGCAAATTCTTGTTCAATTCTGTTTTGAATTTAATTTATTCTGCTTAATGTCTTATTTTATTTCATTTGTACTGTAATCAAACAAAATAAACTAAAGTTTGAAATAAAAATAGGTCAGAATTTACATTTAAGTTATTTGCACTGTCATGGTTTTGTATCAATACAAATTTATTTGCATTGCAACCAAATACAGCCTTAATTTCTAACTCTCATTAGTGACTTCACATCAGCCCCCACAAGGAGGTGCCCCACAATGTCCCACAGCACATCCCAGCCATGCATTGGGAACATCTTCTGATGATGTTTCATCATTTCTTGTACTTATCATCATGAGATGTTTTCAATACACAGCTGAAATGTGATGTGGGACGTTGTGAGGGACGATGCAAATGCCTCATTAGTGATTGTGTACATTCAATGGATCACCCCTTTAATATTTTCAGTCTTGAATTTTGATGGATTAATTCACTGTCACCAGGAAAAAATTAGGACTATTTTGTTCGGTTTGAAGGAAAAAGTAGGGAAATTTATATAAATCCTGTATAAATTTCTTAACCTTTCTCTTCCTTTCCCTACATTTTCCTTCAAACCAAACATAACAAAGCAAAAAGAATTGTGAATACTCTCATTGACAACCGCAAAGCTGCAGAAGTACTGAGGCAGCTGGTATGAGTGATTTCTCTCTCTCTCCTTCACAGACGTGTTCAGAGAGAAATGTTTTCACCCTCCGTTTTCAGAAACCACATCTCCGCCCCACCCCACAGCACATACCACCGATGATGCTATTATCAGGAAATGCTCTCAATACTTGGCGGAGATGTGCTGTGAGTTTCAATATTTTATTTTTCGGCATGATTAACATTGAAAGCTGACTATTGCTCCTTTCATTTTTCATTACAGTTTGTATAAATCAGGGATCAAATGAAAGGAATACACTATAGGCTCCGTTTAGTTGCAAAGAGGACGTAAGAAATTAAAAGAAAATCAGAAAAGAGAAAAAAGAAAAGAAAAATTTAAAGAAGGGCAATAGTTAGTGGGTTCCATCCACCCATTTTCACTTAAAACACAATTTTCTTATATTTTCAAGTATAGTTTTACAAGGAAATTGTTTAAAAGAAAGTTTTTGAAATCATGAAAACCCAGCCTTAGATCCCTCAACTATTTTTATCAAATAAAATACTTGTTAAAGAATTTTCATTGACATTTTCACTATATGTTAATATGTTAATGACCCATTTATCTTGGCTTCACATCTATACATACCACCATGTGAAAATTTTAACCCATTTCCACCAAAAAAAAAAACCCTCTGATAATCTCCCCTGAAAGTGGTGAACGAAATTTTTTATTTTACTTCTATTTCTTTCGGTATATATTTTCTCCTTTTTTCTCTCTAGCTCTACGGTTTCGTTTTTCTTCCGTTTTTGATTTGCATATTTTAATCTTCTTCAAAAGCTTGTCGATTTCGTAGTCAGCTCACAGGATTCCATTATTCTTTTCTTTCGTTGTTCTGTTTCACTTACAGTGAGGTAATAGAGGTTGTTCGTGTTTCACCTTGAATTCGGAAGACAGACGATCCCAGTCCCACTCTTCATACACCCAGGACGATCCTATCATCCTAGTCCCAGAAGCGCGCGGACCAATTCAACCCTCTTATTTAAAAAAAATACCACCTGCACGTGGCATCATCAACGCAATGTTGACGTGACGAGCAGTTGTTGAGTTTTCTGCGAACTTGCGAAGAGTACAGTGAATAAATATCGAACTACTTTCACATCTCGAGTGGCCTGTCAACCATCTAAGTTAGAGTCGGTGTATGAGTAGCAGACAACCAGCTCGACATTTAACTCGTCGCCTCTCATAAGTCCAGCCAAACGGTTCCGGCTTGTTAACTAGTATCATACTATCATCTTTCGTTCCCCCAAAAAAAAAAGTGAGAGAGAGAGAGAGAGAGAGAGAGAGGTAGAGGCTGATCAAAGGAGCAATGGTGTTCTTTTGTTTCCTTGTGGATCAGAAGCGGGAGGTGTGTAACAGCAAACCAGCGGCCGGAATCTGCTCGAGGTGCGGAGGTGGGGCCAGCGTTGCCGATATGAGAACGGCGACCAGATTCTGTTACGTTCCATTCTACTGGAAATCCTGGCGAGCTATCATATGCACTTTCTGCGGAGCCATTCTTAAATCTTACAGATAAAATGTTTCTCTCTGGAGCTCTATTATAATTCCAATTTTAATCTCTTACTTTTGTTTTTCATCCGATCGAGTTGTATAATCTATATGTATATGTATATTGAATCTAGGGCTGTTTTGGCCTTCGTGGCTACTTGAAGAGATATAATTAGTGTTTAGTGTTTGTTGCTGAAAATATAGAACGAAAATACAAAATTTATGCTTCTTCTTAATTAGCCTCTATCTCTTTCTTTGTTCTTTTCCGTATTGCGTTGAGAAAAGGAAGTGTACATTCACGGGAGAGCGTAGAGGGATAAAGATGATTAATTCGATGGATTCGATGGACTGAACTTTACCATGGCGATTGATAGCAGGAAGAACTGAAACTCCAAAGTAGCGCCCTGCAGTGCTCTGTGATAAATTAAAAGATTCCAATAACAGTTGTATCTTGTATGCAATTGCGATGGATCACCCGGTATTAATTTTTAAATAGTCAAGTTCCAGTTCCACATAGGAGAGCGTGCATGGTCCATATATATAATAACGTCGATAGTCGATACGACAACGACGAGACGAAGTTGAGTAACTTTATTTGGAGCTGTAGAAGATGATTAGCATGCCTGGTCTACACTCTACACTATACGGTTATAGTACTCTAGCCAGGAGACAGTGATGACGCCCGCGGCCCGGCATATATATAACAGATTAACAGGGTTTTTCTTAGACCTCAACAGGTTAATTAATTGACCAGGATCTTTGTGTTCATTAATTTGCTTCTACATTGGATCTCACGGTAAATGAAGTGTGAAGATATCGAGGAGTATGGGTGGGTATTCATAATGCTCTCTTCCTCTCGCCTATGCCGAAATCAAACTTATCCCAACAAGTTTTATCTGATAATTATTTGCTTGTATAAACTCACTTACGCAGGTAAGTGAAAACCAATGGAATCTTAATTAAAACATATTGATCCCACCATTGATGGAGCCCAAGATGGCGTTGTATGTATCTTGGTTTTGGTTTTGATCACAATTGTTTATTTTGTTTGGTAGGTGAATGTGAATCAAGCATGCATAAACAGTCCAGCGCGTGATACGGGGTTAGTTGCTGCAAAAATTATTGGATGGTTGAATGTATTCATGATACTCACAAGCATTGGGTCGTTCCGTCAAAAACAAGAATTCTTCTTAATTTTATTGGTTTCTAGATGCACATGTTACAATTAGACTGGGCCGGGAACATTGGAATGATACAAAGCATGTATTTTTTATTTCGTTTAAATTTGAATGATACAAAGCATATAATGGTTGGATGAATGGAATATGAAAATTGGAAAATGGACTAAATTAATAAAATATAAAAAATACAATATAGTTACAGATTGAAAATAAAAAATTACGTTACTAAAAAAAATCAAATAAATTAAATAAAATTAAAACAAAATTTACAATAATTTGAAAAAATGCTATACAACTATTGAGTATAGAAAAAAATATTGGATTCATCATTTTCTCCTATCGTTCTTGTCTTTGATCATCTGCTTCAGGTGAAATATCAGGTGTCATGCCCTCCTTTGTCTTATAATCTGTTTTTAGCATCTAACCAATCTTTTAAGCAGATGCACATTGCTAGAGTTTCATCATTCATACAACTTCTCATGTCATCCAACACGTTAGTACCTATACTAAAACAAGACTCCGGTGGAACTGTAGACACCAGAGGGATTAGTAGATCACGTGCCATGGTGGCGAAAATTGAAAAATTTTTTGCATGTTCACTCCACTAGGCTAAAATTAATGTCAAAATTATTTGTTACCTCCATGGTGAAGGAAGAATCACCTAAAGTAGAAAAATTTGATTGTAAATAAAAATTAAGTTCAGTAAATGAACTTATTGCTGATGCAGTGGATTTCTACCTCTTATTAAATAAAAAAGTTTTTCTCTTCCACTAGTGGACTCAGGCTCAAAAGTGGAAGATGCAGTTGTACAAGTTGTAGAATTTTTATTATTCCCTGTTACTTTAGATTCATATAAATTATACATTTCAAATAATAAACTATTAATTTCTTCTTTTTTATTTTCAATTTCAATATTCATATTTTCACAATATGTTTCAAGTAAAATATCTAAACCATCTTTCCTAATCTTAGGATCTAATATTGTAGCTAAGCAATAAAGAGGAGAAATGTTCTCCCAAAATTTTTAAAATTATTTTCCATTATTTCAACAATACTTTTAAATTGTGGATTCTTTTTATGTTTTGCAAAACAATCACAAATCATCATTAATTGATAAGCTAAATTACAACTAGTTGGACAATAAATATCCGATAATTCATTAGTTGCATCATAAAAATATTTTAAAAAATCTCTTATACAAATTGTCATTTCCCAGTCTTTCTCAAATATAATATTAGTAGGCATTTTTGCATTATAAAAATCACCAAGAATTTGTTTGTGAGAAGTACAACTTTCTAACATAGCATAGGTGCAATTCCATCTATGTTTAACATCTAATATAAAATGTTTATATTTTAAACCATAATTTTGACATAAATGTTTAAATTCTTGTTTTCTTGCTCTAGAACTTTTAATATATAATACAATTTCTAATTTTAGAAATATGAGTAGAAATAATATTTAAAGCATCATGAATACATAAATTTAAGATGAGGCTTGCACATCTGATATGAAATAATTTACCATTTAGATATGGTTTTAATTGAGATTTTAAAATATTTATTGCTGAATCATTATTACTAGCATTATCAAAACTAATAAAAAATAATTTATTGCCATTTCCATAAGCATGTAAAGTACTTAAAATACTTGTAGCAATAGCAGGGCCAATATGTGGCCATTCAAGCCTAGTAAAACATAAAATTCTTTTATTTAAAAGCCAATTTTCATTAATAAAATGACCAGTAACACAAATATAATTTATGTTAAATTTAGAAGTCCAAATATTAGAAGTAATTGCAACTTTAGATTTAAGATTTGATAACATATAAATTAAATTTTATTTATATGAATAAAAAATTTTTAAAGCATATGATCTAATTGTATTCCTAGAAACATTTTTAAATTGCAGATTTATAGAATTACATAACCATTTTTCTAGTTTATTATCTTCAGTTGACAAAAATGGTTGTTCAACATGTACAATGTATTTTGCTAATTCTTGCCTCATTTTTTATTGACAATATTTAAAAGTACCAACCCCCCCCCGGCCCAATTTGTGTTTGTTTTGTTCTTCTTCCTCTTCTTTTTCTTTCTCAAGAGTGAACAATTGTTTTCCCAAATGGTCAAAATCACCCTTGCTACAATAGGTAAAGTCTTTCCTACATTTTGGCAAACAGTTATTTTTCCCTTCTCCTAAACCTCCTCTACTTTAAATATTTTCCAAATTAGGCTAATCAACTTAGCGGCCTTTTTTTTTCTTTCCCCTAGTATCAGTACTAAGGGTGCAAGTTCCGTTAATATCAATAGCATCCATATCGGTGCTAATACTATCATGTCGCAATTGAATATTGTCGACATTGAACATGTTGGGGAATTGGTTTCAGGAGAAGCCAACCATTTTTTTTTAATTCGAAAAAAAATAAAAAATAATTTAATTACACTTACCCGGATTGCCTGGTCGGAATCCCAACTTAATTTCAACGGTTGAAGCCTTTCAATTCCAAGAGTCCAAGCCTTCCAAATTGCTAAATTGAGATGCTTGAACTGTTGAACAAGCCTTTTTCTTGCTGAAACTTCAATAAAGTTGAGAATTGAAGAATCAGAGAATGTATGAGAGATTGAGAGATTGAGACTTTAGAAAGTATGAAAGCTAGAGAAGAGATTAAGAGAATTATTGAATTGGTGTGATAAGAATGGTAGAGGATAGGACTATTTATAGGAATTGAAAATAATTCAATTGCCCAAAATACCCTAAAAACTAGTCATTTTTAGTTGTTAAGAGGGGTATTTTGGTCATTATAAAATTATTTATCACTTTACCCAAAATGTCCCCCCAAACTAGCTGTTATATAGCTATTGGGGGCATTTGTATCATTCCCCCCAAAACCAAAATACATAAATACCCCCCTATATAACTGTTTATAGCTGTTGTGGGGTATTTCTATAAAAAAAAAACCCAAAAAGTTAGAAATAACCGTTGGGGCATCAGGCAGGCTGAGCGCAGCCCGCTATGGGCCTGCAGATGGCACGGTCATACCGGTCCGTGGGCCTCGAACCCCAAGCCCAACACGTGCCCATGTGCCATCAACAGCACCTTATTTGACTTTTTTGAATCACGATCAGAAGTATAATATTCATTAAAAAAAAAAAATTAATCAGGACACCAACATCTATCTACCTATCTATCGAAACAAAACGGTTGAAATATCATCTCTAGCTACCAAACAACTAGTTGATGATCTTTGAAAGCTACATGTGATATAGCTCCATTGATCTTGTCGTGCTAACAATGGTCCTAATTTTACATATGCTTTACCTCAGAAAAGTGGTCCTGTATAATACATATGAGTTTTAGATCCATCATAATTAAGCTTGGTTATGTGGCTGAAAGACGTTTTCTGGGTTCATATAACTTGAAGGCTCAGATTGAAAAGAGTAAAAATATAAATATGTACAGTGCAAATATATATAAAATATAAGGTTTGCACTCTATATATTTGTATTTGTATTCCTTCTAAACTGAGCCTAAAGTGTTTTAATCTTCTGGAAGACCGGAGCCACCACCGAATGGGTTTGATCACAGAGATAAATCATCGGCTCGAAACGTGTTCATGACTGTATGGTCTTACTTTTAGCATTCATTCAACTCTTAAAAACTAAATGGGAATATCTATCTCTAGAGAGGGACAATGTCTTGTAGTCTATTTAGCGAAGGTGGATTCAGTACTCAAAATTATCTCGTTTTCAAAGCCCTTTTTAATCCTGTAGTGGGAATATTTTTATACTTGCATCTTTTTATTTATGGGTAAATGTTTTCAATGTATGACTGAAAAGGACTATAAGAAAGGTGTGAGCATCAAACCTGATTCCCTATTTAGCGCCTGAGTAATAGGATTAACTTAGCAGCACAAAAAAAGGCCAAATAGGATCGTTCATTCCTCCGGCTTTAACTCATCCAAGATGACTTCATAAATGGAAGAGGAGCGGTCTCCATCTTACTGGTTGCCTCAAGAGCCAGGAGGAGTTACTGAAATCAACATCGAATTCATTTG